GTAACCCTTAGCCTGACCATGTCGTCAAATATTTGAACTATTCCATCATTCATATACCCTGTCGAACGTCGCCACGCGCAGTTATTGTGTTCATAAGTGTTCCCTTGCGTTCCGTGAAGCCGACATGACCATAACTCTACATTGTTCAGTTAATCGCAATTACCTGGCAGACTGTGGTACCAGTTAGAATATAGTCATACAGATGTTTATTTGCACATGCATGCATCTTTATTTACCAACTGCATATTTTCACCAAGAAACTCGATTCAGATTCGGGAGCAGATTCGGAAATGGATTTACCATCAAAGCTAACTGAGTTGGAGTCATATTCAGGTACAATATCAATGTTCAACAGCCCACTTTAACCAGGCTCAGATTCAGCTCATTTCGCTCTGATTTGAATTCAGAACCGATTCCACCCAAATGTAGTCAAGCACTGGTCTGCTACAAGTCCGCTGCCAGTCAAGAACACACTATTCACTATAATTAGCAAAACCCGATGCGAATGGGATTACCAGCACTTAAGTCATGTGCCCTGCGAATGTTGGCCATGGCTGCTCTCGGAAACGGCTCGTGACGGCAAAATGCCGTCAAAATGTTGCAGCACCGTCTCATTCTGTCCACCACACTCCAGGCATATTTTGGCATCTCGCGACCAGCTCAATATCATCCCTCCAAGGACGTGAAATACCATGGCCCGGCGTGCCAGCCGCTCTGATGGCCTTATCTCGGTAGTCATGTCCGGCACGGTAGGCCATTTGGTTATACGATGGCCCAGCGTGCCAGCTGCTCGGATGGCCTTATCTCGGTAGTCATGTCCGGCACGGTAGGCCATTTGGTTATACGATGGCCCAGCGTGCCAGCTGCTCGGATGGCCTTATCTCGGTAGTCATGTCCGGCACGGTAGGCCATGTGGTTAAAACAAGCCAGTTAGCATAAAACATGGGGCGGGGCCGTGCCGAGCATGTCGGCACGCTAGACATTCGACACAAAATTCTACGTTTGGCCTAGGACTTCATGACCGGGGTGGAAATCAGGGCTTACACGACAAGCACTGCTTAGCATGTGCTGATCCCAGAAATGCACCTAATCAAAATGTCCGAACAAAATATTTTCTTCTTTTTTAACCGCACGATACACGGTAATCACCGAAGGGAAATTGTGTTGCTTAAGCAGTATCCAGACTGTGACGTGGTGGAACCTGCCACAGTGTAACGTCCAGCACCCCCTCGAGCCAGTTCCGGCGTCTGACAGTGCATCACTCAGCACCCTTCAGGGCCAGCTCCGGCGTCTGATACAGTGTACCACTCAACACCCCTTCGAGCCAGCTCCGGCGTCTGACACAGTGCACCATCCAGCACCCCTTCGGGCCAGCTCCCGCGTCTGACACAGTGTACCGTCTAGCATCCCCACCCCCAACCCCAGGCCAGCTGCCGCGTCTGACACGGTGCACCGTCCAGCACCCCCTCGAACCAGCTGCCGCGTCTGACAAGGTGCTCCGTCCAGCACCCGTTCACGGCAGCTGCCGCGCCTGACGCGATGTACCCCGCCGAGCGGCACTGACCAACTGGAAGTCGAGCTGCTCGTCGGGAGGGATCTCCTCCCTGGTGCGGGCCCGGCCGTCCGAAGGCGAGGCCACCACGCGCGGGTAGTTGTCAGCCTCCGGGCGCAGCTCCACCAGGTGCAGCCGCTTCTCGTCCGCCAGCTGCTGGTGCGTTCGCTGTGCGTGACGTCACAGCGGCATCAGCGATCTCAGCGCGGCACCCACGCGCCCCGTTTCACCGGTCCAGGAGTCCAAGCGGAGACGTCAGCTTGACAGAGCAATACCCTCCATCTCCTTCCCACTATCATTCAATATAATCTCCCCTTCTAATCTTATCATACATAATAGTATAGTACAATCTTCAAATACCTATGAAAATGGTAAAGTCTCCACTCCTGCAACGCCAACGAAAAACACGACACTGTAGCAGTGATCATGCACCAAAAAAAGATAACAACAAATACCCCGACCAAATCAGCCTAAGTACTCTAAACTCATAACACCGAAAAACCAGGAACTAAAAGCTCCCCTTGTATACATCAGGTCTCTGAGGCAACACCATACGCATAGCACAGGAGCCTGGTCGGCGCGCCGGACGCTCACCTGCCTGAGCAGGCCCAGGAAGAAGGCCCTGGTGATGTTCTGCACATTGTCGGTGGGTCCCTCGACCTTGGCGTAGAGGTCGCTGATGCCGACGCGATGGCACACCTCTCGGATGGCGCGGTGACACTGCAGGCCGTGGCCCCGCGGCCGACGCTCCACGAAGATGCGCACGGCCGCGAACCGCGTGAAGAAATCGTGGAACACTGCCGGGCGGGGAGGGCGGAGGAGTCAGCGGCGCCAGGACGGCACCAGGGGCGGGCTGCTGTGCTCATGTTGGTGTCTTGTTCTGCTGCTGCCGTACGTGGGTTTGGTATTCTGGAGCCGGAAGATCGCCCCGCAGCACTCCGTGTCTGCTTTCTCCAGCTACAGGAAATAATAAACCAGTCACGCACACGAGTCATGTCATTAAGTACAACAGCCACATGCACCCAATTTAACCAGAATCCACATTTGCTCCCTGGTCAACAGTCCCAACAGCGACTTGACAATCAATCAATCCTTTTGACAAGAACCCAATCGTCGCCAAACCGCAATACATAGTCCACAGACGCTATGCTAGATTCCCGTCTGAGACAATCAATACAGCACAGGTCCGTCCTCAGCATCCGCTGACAGCGGCCGAGAGCGTCGCCGCCTCCTCGGCAGCGGCCCGGCCCGGCCGAGCCCCGGCCGCTGCCGTACCGGTGTGGCCGTCGCAGCGCTCGATGTAGATGAGCCGCTGAGAGGCGCGCCGCTTGCACTGCTTGATGGCCGCCTGGCCCGTGTTGCCCTTGCCGACCCCGAAGCCGGCCAGACCGGCGCCGTTGCCGGTGACGGCGAAGCAGCTGATGTGGCGCGTCCGGCCGGCCGTGGCCGTCATAGAGAACACCGTCTTCAGCTCCAGAACGGTCGTGTCGAAGCCCTCGAACGTCTCTGTAGGAGACACGCGACCAGACCGGTCAGAACTGTTCGCCAGCGTCGACACCATCGGCTGCTGCGCCGGGCAATATGCAGCGGGTGAATGGCGCAGATGGTTGGGCACATTCCCCGCGGTTCAGCCGCATCTGTCACGGCCTCTGATTCCCAACAAAGCTTGTATTTTATGTTAAAAAAATGCTACAACCAAGGCTGAGCATTGCGAAAAAAAGGACAATCACTGACACACGACGAATAACTAGACGCGAGGGCGCATGATATAATAGTGCAAAAACCGTTCTTGACGGTAAAGCGCAGCTTGCAAAAGTCCCGATACACAACAGCGCTACAGCCGACTGTAGCCGCTACCACCCCAAAGTACACGGACCTGATCAATAGCAGCTACCACAACACAGTACACGGACCTGATCAATAGCAACTACCACACCACACCAACACCACAGAAGACAGACCTGATCAATCGCAGCTACCACACCACGGTAGACGGACCTGATCAAAGCCACTATCACACCATGGTAGACGGACCTGATCAATAGCCGCTACCACACCACAGTGCATGGACCTGATCAATAGCCACTACCACACCACGGTAGACGGACCTGATCAATAGCAGCTACCACACCACATTAACAGGAGCTGATCAATAGCTGATACCACAATACACTAGACAGACATGATCAGGTCAGCTGCCAGCAAGCGTCACAACACGGAACCAAGCACCACCCAGCACCGCCTCCCCATTGACACACCGGCCGGCCGGCCTCCGCGAGCGGACGGCGGCTGGCTGAGCGCCCACCGAAGTCGATGGGTTCCGGTGGTCCGATGCTGCGGCCCGCCAGCTTATTGCCGGACCAGCCGCGCTCCAGCGGCCCCAGCTTGACCGAGCGATGGTCGGTGAACTGCTCGCGGATCTGCTGCAGGCGCGCCGCACGCTCCGGGTCCTCCGGCAGCTGGCGCTGGCGCACCAGCTCCTGACCGCGGATCACCGGCGTCGTCAGGCCCGGCCACACCATGTTTTCCTTGCCTGCGGACGACGGCGCGGCGGCGTTCAGCACGACCATAACAAGACAGACGACGGCCGAGCGGCGACGCGAGACAGCACAGTCGGCGGAACGCCCCAATGCCGCCGGAGATCCGAGTTCGACCCTCGGCTGTGACTGCCTGCCCGCTAAACGCTCATACGACCATCGCAGTTGTTGCGATCCAGAAACGGTCCCCTTTAAAACGAGCATCGTGCATGCCTATAAAACGCCAGCAAAACGGACGCGAGAGTCCATAAACACATAATAACCCCGGTCCAGTTAAGAGACGCCGAGTGGTCCGGGGCGCGCGGCACCACTCACCGACGCCGCGTGGCCCGGGCCGCGCGGCACCACTCACCGACGTCGTGTGGTCCGGGCCCGCGCGGCACCACTCACCGACGCCGCGTGGTCCGGGGCGCACGGCCCCACTCACCGACGCCGATGACTTGGCCCGCGGTTGAGGTCGCGCTTGCGCTTGGTGCCGGCGCCGCGGCCGCGGCCTCGCTTCCGGCCGGCGTTACTGACGCCGGTGACGCCCCTTCCAGATCTCGTGGGCCGTCACTGCGGCCAGAGGGCGGCGCCAGTCAGCGCCAGCACGTTAGTCACTCGCGCCGAACACAAGTGGAGTAAGCTGATATCTAGAACATGTGGTCACATATGGTTGTATGGTGCCTTTCTATATTGCTAATGCTCATGCAGGCTACAGCCCTCATGTCAGCATTCAAAGTTGTCACCCTGACACAGGATTTAACATATCTCACTACAATGTAAGTTTTTGCGCTGCACTTAAGTTTTGACCACATTTATTGCATCTTTATTACAACCATTCTCCCAGGCATTCAGCACACTACAATCAACACTCTGACAGCTTCTATACCAATATTCATTCCACTTCCAGTACAACACACCCATTTAAGATGCTGTAAGAAACACATCTTTCACAGAGAACACAAAATGAATATACTAGAGGTATGCAACCCTTGATATGCTAAGGAGATCCTTTGGAAGCAGCATGACAAATTTCGACCTCTACAGTCAAATTCAACACTGCATTTTTACAGAGCAATGAAACATCAATAATATGTTTCCACTTACAGTTGGTGAAAAACCCAGCGTTCCGGCTTTGTTGCTTGCTTATGATTCTGTAGTCATCTTTCAGCTTCTGATTAGGCACTTCTAATGCCAGACAGCAGGCAAGATGATGAAATTGCAGACCTGAAAGCAAACAAGTCTAGACAAAACAAAACATACATAACCAGTTCAGCTGGTAAGGGCTTGGTGGGTTCAGCCTCTAACTGGGATGGCCTGGTTGGATGCTTGATTCTGACCTGTCTGCAATGGTTCTAGCTATCATGAGTAAGGACTTCAAGGAAATTATGAGTTTTTTTGCAAGGAAAGAAACCCCATATAAGCCATTTAACCACCGTCCATGTCATGTCACCAATAGAAGCCATAACCTAAATACAAGTTCATACCAGTCATTGATTTCCCAGATGCACAGCTGGCAGGAATGCAGGTGTATGGTGTCATGTGCCTAGGGCCCAATGAGAATGTTGCATGATTGTGATCAAATGCAGCACACATGATAGTACAATTACATTTATGGCCTTCACTGCATGATGAATATCATAACTCTAGTGTCTTTAAACTTGGTTTGGAATGTGCATATGTATGAACCACACCATAACTGTTTAAATGCTATATGACAATATGGCCTGAAACTCCTAAGAAGGAGGAAATATCTTTAACCATCACAAAGCTCAGTATTATATGGCATACAAAACGTACAGCAACTATTGAACTGTTGTATAAAGACATCTTAGCTGCACATGTCATTTGTCATTGCTGTGCATTAGTGCATGTGGCCTCTTAGGCCCAAGCATCCATCCTAAAGCATAAGTGACTTCTTGAGTTTCTGTATCTTAAAGACTTTTGTTCTTGATCGGGTCTGGTGTTAAACATGAGTGGAAAGAGATAAGTGTAGCATGAAATTGACTTTGCCATGTTGCTCCAGAACTTCAATAATGCCTTCTCCACCCATTTAACGAATACATCATTTTGTGACCAAACACCCAACAAATGCTCATCCATGCAACTGTATACACTTCCACCTTGTTGAAACGCAACACATCACCCTCACCTGTAGCAGATGCAGCTAGGTTCTGACCTCCTGCCCGATTACTCAAGGTTGCGTGGCAGCAGCCTAGAAGCTCCAAGTTTAATGGCAAACATGACTGTGACAGGCCCACAAATTGAAATCAGGCATCAAACTACGGCCATATCGTACCATCAAAATGTCTACGACCGCCGCCTATCCCACAACCTGAAACCCACCCCTGCAACATTCATGGAGCGACTTGAACGAAATTGCACATTCTGGTAAATGTCTACAAATGTTTGACGCAAACGGCTGACTGATCAAGAAGGTATGTTTCCACAGCGGAATAGATTGCTGTCTTACTTTGCATATTATTTGTCATATCTGGGTCTTGTGTCACCCAAATTATTTATTTGTGTTTCAAAATGATTAAATTTAAAAGTTTCTACTCACACTTCTGAATTAATTGAATATTCAAAAGGTTATTTTGGATATTTAAGTGGTGCATTACGGCGCGATCGTTACGTTAGCGCCATCAGCCACCTTTTCTACCACGCCCGCTCTCTTAGAACGATATCATTTACAGCGTTTTTAGATTGGTGGGAGGCGACGGTTGGGTATTGGTGGAAGCGTTCCGCAGTGTTCCGTCATTCCCGTGTTGTTGTGGCGATTGACGACTGCGGTAACACGGTGGAATATATACCGGGACCCAACATTTTTTTTTCTCCGGCAGTAGTGCAATCTCAAGTCTTCAGGAGACGGATACGTTACAGTACCTCGTTTTCAAGGCTACTTCGATGGCGAACTACCCTGTAAGAACCAGGCCTAGCATTTTCAAAGTTGCATTAAGGCAGATGGGCCATGAAGACAAATTTTTTTTGGTTGTTCCAGTGGTCATTTTTTTGACAGCATGAAGCCAGTCTGCAAAAAATCAATCACTTCGCTGAACTCTGTGTGCCCCAGAATGAGGCCAGGCCGAATTCACTGCTATTTTATTCTTATTGTAAGACAAAATAATGATAAGTGTGTCTTTAATTGCCTGCATTATGCCAATTCTGTGCAACATTGCTTCTCTGTGCCCTGAAATTGGTGGTGACTGCACCAAACTGATGGCTCAGGTTTACGGCATACATGTCCTGCAGCTGGTAATGCCTCAAGCGTTCAACATAATGTGTGCATGTCATAGTTTGGGCATGAGGCACCCTACCCACAGTAGCTTTGTATGATGTTTTTTTACATGTCAGGATCAGGGTTCTCTTTGTTTTTCTGGTAGTCTTGTAGCTGCATTTAAAGAAAAATGTTGGGGGTGAGCAAGTATAATATTGCACATTATGATGGGCCCCTGTCTGTTTGATGGTCACCAGATTGGTAGATTGAAATGGTTAATTTATTAAATTTGGATATGTCTCAGCTTTTGTCATGTTCGTTTACAAAATGTGTCCATGCCTTGGTCCTAAAATAATGCGTTTTGTGGGTGGAGAAAAAATATTGTATTAGACCATAAATTAATGGAATGGGGCTTTGGGAAAAGGGTTTTCTAGGTGGAAGTAACATGCTGCTTTAGAGCATAAATATAATAATATATGATACAACTTCATGGCTTTGATTGGCTTCCAGGGCCAGCAGCCAAGTGGTGGTCTGGATCCTAAGGCTGCTACATGGTTCCCGAACAGTGGACCGGGACAACTCGGGCCGCATAACTGCGCAGGAACTGCAGCAGGCACTCTCCTCTGGCAACTGGCAGAAGTTTGACATCTCATGCTGCAGGATGATGATTCGTAAGTGTATCACTGCCTTGCCAGTTTTTTCATGTTTAGTTCTACTAAGGTATCTGGGTTGATAAGGGTTAAGCTGTGCTGGGAATATGCACTACTCATGTGCACTAAATTTATATAGATATTTTAAACATTCTTTTGTGAAGCATTGTTTTTTCCACAATCTTATGAGTGATAATGTGTACCAATGCTCTAGGATAGACAGCAAAAATATTATGTTTGAATGGCACTGACTTTCTGTGGCTTTGTAGATAGAAGTATCTGTGATGCCAGCTCCATGCATCTTGAAGGTAGTGTCTGATGCCTGTTACATGTATTTTTAAAAACAAGTAGTGCAGTGCAGTTCTCTGGAAAATAATCAGTGCTGTATTGTCATTTCCTTAAATACTGTCTGATCTGACAGGATCTCTTGATAACACTGTTTTTGCCACAGGCCAACAGGTCAACCCATTATGAAAGCAATTTTAAGGTTCCATAACTATTTTTTGGAATCAGCAAAAATCAAAAGCAACCCCCAGGCTATGTGAATGTCTCTTCTACAAATCACCAAGCAGTTAACACTGTACAACTCACAGGTGTGCCTGGGTTTGGCTGGGAAATAGTCAATGCCATCTTAGCTTGTGGCTTCAGGTTATGCCAATTTCATTGGTTATCTGTCATGCTTGTAGGGGCCACAAATGCAACACTGTGTGGCCGAACAACACCCATGTTTAAGTATTTGGTTTAAACCTTTTGGTTCAATAGGCTCCTGGAATCAGAACCATTATAATCAGCTTGTCTTGTGTGAGCACTGAACCCACCATCCGATCTTGGAGTTATGGGTCAGTGACGTAATTTTACTGCGGAAACTACACGGTCGCAATGCTGGGCACGATCCTCTCTGCTTCCTGGCGTTATCTGACCTCTGGAGCGGCCGCTACCATCGGTGACAGGCCATACCAACAGGGGCAAATAGCTTGCACCCTAGGCGACTCGAAGCCATACCGCCAAGGTTTGGTGAGTCGGAGGGTAGACACACGGACCAAATGCGTTATGGGGACAAACAGCTGAGGCATTGGTTGGGAAGCCGAGCGGGTGGGGGCTCTTAGGTCTTCACAGACGGAGGTAAGTCCATGCAAACTAGCCAGGCACATGTGTGAGTTATCTCTCTCCAACACCCTCCCAAAGCATTTGCAGTTTTCTCAGTGATGATGACCAAAACGTAAGTCATAAGCATATTGATGTCGTCGACTGCAATTGCTGGGCCTGGCACGCCTGTCCTGTGTCCAGACCCAGAGGCCGTCACGTTCCCTACACTGATTTGTGAATTTCCGTGCAACAGTTCCGTCAGTTGTGCAACTTCTGCCAACTAAACTGCCATTGGTGCCGTTCTTCCAATGTAGTGATCATGCACATGTATTTCAGTTTGTGGCTTTTGTGGCAGCTGTGGCTTCTGTGGCTGCCATGATTGCTATCGCCAGACAGCTGGAGTCTTGACTTAGTGCTTTAAGAATCGGATCTGTGCCACAAGATGGATCTGAAGAAGGGTCTTTGCCAAATTTAAGCATAGCTCCATACTTTCATTGACACATCGTTATGCGACAGTGTTGCTGTGTGCTTGAGTCATTCGTTTGTTTTGCTCCAGGGATGTTTGACAAGGACGGAAACGATACTGTCGACATAAACGAATTTGGCCATCTGTTCAACTATGTCAATGCCTGGATCTCAGCATTCCAGAAGTATGACACTAACAAGTCGTCGAGCGTAGATGCCAAAGAGCTGCAGCAAGGTACGGATCGACTGCCTTTGTCTGTCGCCCGTTCGTATTCCAATCCTCCGCCCAGTGTTTTTCCTATCTCCCATAAGCATTTCAATGATGCACCATTCACAACTCTTTCAGCGTGCTGCTCAGAATCGGGTGTCAGGCAAGATATTGTTTTTGTTTGCACTCAACTTAAGAGCTATGTCAAACGATGCCAATTGTTCGATATTGCTGTGTCCAAAGTTTGGCTCACGACCGTGTCTATTAATTTTTCCTGTGTTATGTCTTGACTCTAAAGTCTAGCTCGTCTTCATTCTCATGCGCATGGGCCACAGTTCGCGCCAGGCAACTGTGAACCGGCGATCAGTGAGTGGGACACGGCGAGGCCTCAATTACACTTCGTGCACATAGCCCGCTAAGGATGCCCTCGCCCGGCAGCCTTCGCCGAGATGGGCTACCGCCTGTCGCCGGCCTTCGCTGAAAGCGTGCTGAAGAAGTACGACGTGAACAAGTCTGGCCAGATCACCGTCGACCACTTCATCCTGTCGTGCATCCAGCTGCAGAACCTGACGAACGCCTTCCGTGCGCGAGACTCCGCCATGAAGGGCATGATCCAGATCGGCTTCGAGGACTTCCTGTCCACGTGCTTCAAGTGCACGGCGTGGACCGGCCCTGACACGGGAGCGGGAGCGCGGGAGCCGGCCGGGTGGTGCGGGCTCCCGCCGCGGTGCGGACAGATCTGAAGGCGCATCGGGAGTTCGTGGCCGCGTTACCCTGCTCATGAGCATTGGCTCTTGGAACTTCGCCTGAGTGGAGACGACCATGTGAGATCCGGTTTAGTGATTTGGGCGTTTCTCATGCAGTTTTTTGTTTCGCTACAGGCGGGCCTTCCGCTTTGTATGCTGGGCGTGTGTCACGCTGCTCCTTGGGGCCCATACCCTGGCTGGATATCTGTTAGACTTTGCTATTGGTGCACATTCAATATTTGCCTAGCGCCCATGCTGCCTTAACTGTGGTGCATTATTTGCATGTGCTTTTGGCATGGAAGGCAAACATGTTTTTCGTGTGGAAAAGTGGTAATATCCATATGCCAAAATGTAAGGAGGTGTGCCAGATCTGTTTCGAGCACGGTGCTTTGTCGGTAGCCTTATTTCCCGTGTGGTGTCGTATTATCTCACTCTAGTGCTGTATGGTCTCATGAAATCTCGCGACTTTTTCTTCAGTTCTCTTGAGCACAGTACACTGTCAGCAATGGTCAACTTTGTCGAAGGGCAAGCCTTTGCCACGAGCACGACCACGGCTGTGCGGCTGCCGTCCCATGATGATGACCGCGGCTGTGTAGCTGCCGTCTCACGAGCACGACCACAGATGTGCAGCTGCCGTCTCACGAGTACGACCGCGGCTGTGCAGCTGGCGTCTCACGAGCACGACCACGGCTATGCAGCTGCCCGTCTCACGAGCACGACCACGGCTATGCAGCTGCCGTCTCACGAGTACGACCACGGCTGTGTAGCTGCCGTCTCACTAAACCGCGGTTGCCGACGACCGCGGGATAGCGCGATGAATTACTTTTGCTACCACCACCGATTGAGACAGATTGTTTCAGTTGTGTGCTAAACGCTCCCCATGTTATCTTACTGGGGCTCAAAGTTCTCGTCTCAGCGACTCGTTGGAGAACCTTGGGGTGTTCTGAGTGTGTAGGTCCCAACTACTTAAGCTGTCTCGTGAATTTCTGATGAATTTCTGTGCGGAGGAAGAACCTTATCGTGTTTGTAGATGGAAACTATCCCACATAAGATGATTCCCGTGGAATAGTGGTGGAAGCTGGTGTCCAAACTTTTAGTAGAAATGAATAAACAATTTGATGAAACACTAGAACGCAATGATAGGGGTCTGGTCCAGGAACACTTAATGCGAGCAGCATCCATCCGTGACGATAAGCCCCCCACCAGGTGCGAAGTCTTGCAAATCTCTGTGGCCAAGTGAGCTTGGCGGAATATGACAGACATGACCCCAGCCTCGTTTCACGCCAAACACAATTTATAGCCATTTTTGCTTGGAGGGGAGCAGCTGGAGCACCTTGAAATGAGTACGAAACTACGCTATGACCCGTGCCCGCCAATGATTTTTTCCGTCTGTGCTTCCACCTTTATTATGCCACTCATAACAACAGATTAATCATTTAAACACAAGAGGCACTAACTATAGAAATTAGATAAATGTGTACTGTTGGTGGCCGCCGGCGAGTACAAATTCAGCGATGGAACAAAGAATTACACGTCTAGCGTATTAATCCTCATATGAATAGCATGGGTAGCCGCTAGGAGCATGAACATAGCCTAGAACTCGATAGCTTCGATCACGTCGCCGTGGAGCCCCCTCCAGCCATTGAGCTGTTTTGTGGTGCTGCTTCGCTGTTGCGCGATCTTGGCTTCCTCATGGCACTCGGCGTCGGCGGCCATCACCTCTGCGGCCAGCCAAGCCGTTTCGGGCGGCACCGGCTCTAATGTCTCCTCCTCCTCCTCCTCCTCCTCCTCTTCCTCCACTTGGAGCGGGTCAGGCCCGCCGACCAAGGCCGGGTCGACATATTTGCCGCGGTTCGCGCCTCCAACCGACGTGCCGGCTCTTCAGCAGCGGACTCCACCTGTCGGCAAATGCAGGCATCTCTATTTGTGCCCTCGCACGCCAGGCAGTAGCTATACCTGAATGACCTTGGGCGGGACACCACGGTCATCGGTACGTTTGCACCTTCATATCCAACTCAGGTGGAAAGGGCAGCACCAAACTTGTTACTGGCCTCTGGGGATAAGGCAGCCGAATCTACCACCGTGTCATGCTTCAACTAAAAATTAGTGTTATTACGACAGGAGCGGTGCCTGCGACACTATTCGGGATCGCTGTACTCTCAGCCCCTTACTCCATTATGGTTCGTTCCGCTCGGTCCTAACCGCGCTCGCGTTGACGTCTCTCGTCGGCGTCCTAGATCCTGTCTGACACTTTGCGCCTCTTCCAACGCGCTTCGTCTCATCTAGTCCTGCGCCTCACCTGGTCGCGGACTCGGGTGCGGCGTTCCTTGCCGAGCCGCTGAGTGGAGGCGGCCGCTGCCAGCACCAGCAGCACCAGCACGCTCAGGAGTCGGGCTGCACATGACGGCGGCGTGCCTACGATAGTGCGCGGCACGGCGCGGCCCGGCGCCGCCCCCCGGGCGGCTCCGGTGTCGGTACGCAGGCGCGCCGGCGGACGGTGCCGGGTGGTCCGCGCACCCGCACCCGAATCCATCCGGTTGTGGCGCCTGCTCGGACTGGACCGCCGATGTTGAGATGCGGGCTGGGAGGAACGAGAGGTTGGCGAGCAAGGCATCGCTCAATAGACGCTCATAGTTGGGTAATTCGAGTCGAGCTGGAGACATCCCGGACGGCCAAAATCCGACGGTGTTGCCAACCCGCACAGTAAGTTGAATATTAGTTATAACTGGGCTAGGTACACTGGGTGCCGACTAGGTTTTATAGTAATTTATGCAATTTATAGCGCAAATCGCTTCCGAACGAGCCAAAAAGTTATTTCCTCTATTACTCGATGGTGACTTGGATCACGAGGTACAGTGGTGCGGTGTTCACACCGCCCTGACGCAATGTGTGATGGCCGTATTCTGTCACCCGCCCGCACCTACTCGAATGAGCAGCCAGCCGATTCGCACCAAACCATCAACAAGATGCGCCGAGGCGATTGATGGTTATCACGTGCCGCTGTCCATCTCGAAATCCTCGCCCATCCCCGCACTCCTCACATCAACTCAAGCACACCTGCATAAAGCCGCCAATGCCAGCACGTAGTTTATTACACCGCTGGAATGCTGGCCATTGCCCCATATGACTGTCCTACGTCATGGCTTCAACATCCGGCATCAGCCGCCCAAAACTCAAGCCCCCCTCACACTGGCAGTGCACCAGAACCCCGTGCCCGCGTCACACGCAAACACACGTGTCCAAATGGCAGCGCCACCTCAAACTCTGTCAGCCTTTGAAGCACAGCCGATCAGCGCGTTTGGCGGCCAGTGGCGCCGCTCGGCCGCGCCTGCAGCGGCCAGCCAGCGCCGCACGCCGCTCTTCACAGCACCAAGAGTCCGAAGCTACGCGACCGGGAATGTACGCAGCAACAGATTGTCAACGCGAAGCGTTTAAAGGTTTGTTGCTATTGCGACACCTCACGCCATTCTAAAGCGGTGTGAACGGTCACTACTGAGTGCGAAATGACTGCCAAAAACGCGCCCCGAACACATCAACGGGGCAGGACCGGGTCTTTCCTCCGCAGCTGCCACAGCCCAGCCGGTCCGGCTGCACGGGCCGGCAGCCGCCACTGAGGGCCCGCGGCAGCCGCGGCGCGCCGCGCCACCCCGAGCAGCGGCGGCCACCTGCCGTGGCGTCGCGAACAGCATACAGCGGCCGCAGCGCTTTGACGGCAGCCCTGCCCGAGAGCTCAGATCTCCGGACTCGCCGTGCCGGCAGCTGGCGACGCCGGCCCTCCCTCGCCGCCTGGTCCGCTCCGCCGGCCCCCTCCCGCCGCGCCGGCCAGCTCGGCCGGCTCCGTTCGCGCCGCCCGGCTCCGGCTCCGCGGCTAGCTCGGCGCGCGGCGGCTCCTGACGACGCGACGGAGGGTGCGCAGCAGCTCGGCCGGTTGCCGGTAGAGCAGCCGGCCGTCGGCGCCGTCCACGGTCACCCGGCGGCCCGGCAGGCGGCGGGCGCCTGCGCCCAGGCGGCGTTGAGCTCCGCTGGCAGAGTTCGTCGTGGTAGTTGCCGGTGAGGACGGTGACGGTGAGGCGGGCCGGCAGTGGCGCAGGCGGCCGCCAGCCGCACTGCGCGGCGCTCTCGTTCAGGAAGTGGTGCTCGTCCACCACAGTGCTGGCGGCGCGGGTGGCACAGAAGGTGTTTCTGGCGGGGGTGACGGGGCATTACGTGGACAGGCGGCGATAACGGACTGCAGTATCTGGGATGCTGTCACCACAACTCAACGAAGGCGTCAGCGTCCCACGGCGTATCATGCTTCGCAGCATCATAAACACTTATGCTTCCAACAGATTCGTCTGTGCATCACACCCCAGTGCACGACGCATCGTGCTGTAATGTAATGCACAAACATTTGCATGTTCCCAAGACACGCAGCAGACAATAATTTACACACCAGGATGTGCGTTTGCAAGGACTCAAGCTGCTCAAGACGGCGTGCAGCTCCGACTCCGGCGGATGTCCGCAATCACTTGCCTCGAAAAGTATCTGAAATTGATGGACGCCTGCTGTGTCTGTTGGCAGTGGACTAACCTAACTGTCTACAACACGACGCTGAACTGCCAACCTGTCTGTTGATGACGGTGTCTCCCAGCTTGATCGGCCACCTCGTGCAGCGGAGGCCATCAGGCCGGCCATGAGCATGGGCCGCACCAGGCCGGCCGCCGCCGCCACGTGCAGCGCCTGCAGCGGCGGCAGCAGCCGGCCGCGCACGTGCGCCAGCCACGGCGCGCCCTCCTCCAGCATGTGCTCAGTCAGCGGGTCCACCAGCACAGGTCCGACACCCTCGCTGCAGGGCGGCACGGCTCATCACGCTGGGCCGGACGGCTCATCAGAACCATGCACGCTAAATGCGCAGCACAATCTCCCTGCATTTTATAGAAACACCGCGTTCTTTTCGCTGAGCTGCCTTCGGTGGCAAGAGCACAAAAAAAGCATCCAAATCCCGCTTACGTACACGGGCCCGGTAGCAGCTGAAAAAAACATAGCCGCCCTGGCCGGACAAAGATCCACCTTTAGACACAAATGCGGTAAATATTTCCGAGCCGGAGGATCGCCCCTTCACTCGGCCACGTGGTGGACGTACCTGGGGTACAGGTGGGCATACAGCCGGGCGTTCAGTGCCCGAGGCCGGCTCCGACGTACAGTAACGGCGGCGGCTGCCGGCTGGCCTCGGTCAGCAGGCGGTGCAGGTCGGCGGCCGCCGGCCGGCCGTGTACGCCGGCGGAGTAAGCCGCTCTCCGGCCGGCGGCGCTTCCATCGGTCTGTCGCAGGGCCGAGGGTCAGCGAGCGACGCCGTGGGGGGCGCCGGGCCAGGCAGGACGACCGCTTGCCATCACCAGGTCTGGTGGTTGCCTCAGGTGAGGTGTGGTGATGTGCTCGGCGGGGGCTCCGAGGCAGGCAGCCACGATCAGGTCTGGTGGTGCCTCAGGTGACGGTGATGTCGGCGGGGCTCGGTCAGGCGGCACGATCAGGTCTGGTGGTGCCTCAGGTGATGGTGAGGTGCTCGGTGGGGGCTCTGGGTCAGGCAGGACGACTGCCTGCCAGCACTACATCTGGTGGTGTCTCAGTGTGACCGTGGGGTGTTGGTGAACTGTAAGCCTATCATTAGGTGTTTCGGTGTTAACCAGTATCCATGGATCAACTGGCTGATGTTGCAGTGGTCAAGGGGTGCTCCAGGTGACGAAGTCAGGGCCAGTTCCATGAGGCCCCAGATCAAATAGGCAGCCACACGATCTGGGGTTTAGCAGCCTGGTGTCGTCGAGACGATGGGCAGCTTAAGGTGGAAATCGGCTACCATGCGCCCCCCCCGTATTATCACGAGGTAAATCACGGGCTGAACCACCAACCTAAGCGCCATGGTTCAGCACCACATCACGCAAAAGGTTCACATATCAACGGAAGAGACCGAAAAACACAAAGCCCCTCGCTGCATGTCAAAGAGATCTGACATAACAAACAAGTTCTCCGGTTGGACATATGCAAAGCTGACGGTTTACACGCCTTCATCTTTTACATTATTCTCTTAAGTTATCGATTTTCTTTCTACGATGCGACTATTCAGCTATGTTTTGGCCGAACGCTGACCTGACAAGACGCGAGTGCCCCCTGGAGGCGTTCCATTCCGGTAGCGCCATGGTCCACAACATTGCGGCAGAACACGACGCGCAAACGCAGTCACATTTCAAAGGACCTCCATTTCTTGGGAATTAAAAACGAATGTCAGAATAATAATATCCCGCCCGTTTCATAACAAATAGCAGCTAACAGTTTCTGGAGGGCACAGTTCCGCTAAGTGAGCTGCACGCCCCGGAGCGCGCGCCACGTGGTGTGCCAGGCCCGGAGTGCGCGTGATCGCGTGGCCGCTGACCTGTCGCTGAAGCCGAGGCCGGCCCGGTCGAACACGCAGCAACGCGTCAGACGACTGAGGTGGGGCAGCACCGCCAGCCAGACGTCCGAGGAGGCGCCGGCCGGTCCGTCCAGCACCACTGCCGAGCGGCAGTAGGGCCAGTCAGCGGCGCGACCGCCCAGGAACCGGCACAACGGGCACTGACGCTGGTACACACACGACCCACCGCCAGCACTGATGCACGCGGCACGGCCCGCCGCCGGCGCTGATACACACGGCACGACCCACTTGCCGGCGCTGACAGACAACACGGCCCCACTGCCAGCGCTGACACAGACAACACGGCCCACCGCCGGCGCCTGATACACACAACACGGCCCACCGCCGGCGCTGATACACACGGCACGACCCCACTACCAGCGCTGACACACACGACACGACCCACCGCCAGCACTGATGCACGCGGCACGGCCCGCCGCCAGCGCTGATACACACGGCACGACCCCACTGCCGGCGCCTGATACACACAACACGGGCCCACTGCCAGCGCTGACACAGACAACATGGCCCGACCCTGCCGGCGCTGATACACACAACACGGGCCTCCACCGCCGGCGCTGATCAACACGGAACGACCACACTGCCGGCGCTGACACACACCGACGCGCACCCAAACCTGCCACGAGCTGCTGAGACACGCGGCACGGGCCCAGCCGCCGGCGCTGAATATCACACGGCACGACCCACTGCCGGCGCTGATACCACACAACACGGCCCACTGCCAGCCGGATCTGTGATACGCACGGCACGGCCCGCACGCCCGCCGCTGGATACAGTCGTACATGGGCGGAATTCATTTAAATACTGCTGCTGCCGGATACCCGCTCACCGGTCCGTGCCATATGAAGGCTGGCTATCTGCACGCCAGGGTCAACGCCACTAGCACAAGCAAAGCTAAAACCGCCCACTTCCAGGCTTTCATTCATATCACTTGGGAACTGGCAAGGGTAAAAGGTCATAAAACAGTAAGCACGTGCGCCATGTCAGTTTCCTCTCAATTTCCAACGAAACCAGTCTCTATCAAACAGGCTATGGAATTACTTTGACACGCTGGGGAAATCAATCAACATCAAAACTTAGCTACATCGAATTTTGGAAGTTTTTCGAGCGCGGACCTCATTTCCTAAGACCACATGCAGGTTCCTAAGATGAGTCCTACCACGAGAATTACGGTGATTATGGCTCTTCATAAACGATGCACCCACCTGTTGGAGATCCTTCACCCTCACACCTCAGGTACATCTTCTGGCCAAATCCAATATCATAAAGCTGGCCTGTAAAAGCAATCAAATGTTGTGAACCTCAACAATCGCAACAGCTATCAATATCACCAAAACACCCGTAACGAAATACAAGACTCAGGGTAGCCTCCAGGCCGCTGACGCAACACTTCTCAAATTGATTACATTCTAGGGGGGGGGTGGGACTACACCATCGCGCACCTTATCCTGATCATGCTTAACAATGACAGATAGCGCCGGACATTTAGGGGATTGGACTCGGATCACATATCATGTCACGTGTTGGAAAGGTCGACGCACACGCTGAACTGAGCAGAGCGCAGTCGGTCGCTGCGTGCGCCGCTCCTGGAGTTCAGCCGCCGGAGGGCCCGTGCCGACTCACCGTGCGTGCGCAGCTGCTGCTGCTCCGACTGCAGGGCGGCGTGGTTCAGCAGCGGCGGCAGCACGGCAGCCAGCAGGGCGTACTGCAGCAGGCGGCAGCAGCGCTGCAACACAGCCGGGCAGAGCGGGGCGTCACGGCGTCACCGGCGCCGCCAGCGCAGCACGAACACCTCGCGGCTCTTCTCGGTGCCCATGGCGGCGATGACGCCGCCCTCGCCCGGCTCGCCGTCGAAGCCATCCAGCCAGCCCAGCTCGCCCATCGCCATCTGCGCCGCGTCCGGCGTCGAGAGCCGCGAGTGTGGCACCTTCTCCGACGCGATCACCTCCTTGGTGTTGAGGTTGACGAAGTAGAGGGTTGGGGCAGCTCTCCTGCGCGTACGGCGCCAGCAGAATAGCGTACCGCGAGGCCGATTGCCAGCAGCTTTCTTCTTCACCTTGAAGCTGACCACGATACGCGTGGACAGCACGCGCGTGCGCAGGTTGTACTGCACGATTGGACGCTGTCGAGATCTTGTTGTTGGTCGGCGGTGAACTGGCGCACGAACGTCACCAGGTGGTCGTGCAGGGTGGCAGCCGGGTGTAAAAAACGGGATGTGCATGCCGGCTGCGGGGTGGCAAGCGCCTCGGCCAGCGGCACCGCACGCCGCGGCGTGCGCAGCGACTTGAATGGCTCGGCGCCCAGCCACGGCGGGTGTGTTCTCCACCTCGAACACCTGGATCTCGTTCGCGCGTCATGGTGAGTATCACGCGCGCCGGCGCCGGAGCGCCGCCGCCGGCACGCCAGCTGCACGCCGGTGCGCAGCAGCACGCCGCACCACCCAATGGCTGTGGCGCGGCAGCGTGTTGAGCAGCCAGGCCCGAGCCGAGGCTGAAAGATCTTGACCGTGTTGTCGCCGAGCCGCTCACCAGAATGTCCAGCTCCTCCGAGTAGTCGAGGCAGAACACGGGCCCGCTGTGGCACCAGAATCGGCGCAGAAGGCGGACGGCGCCTTCACTGCGCTCCCTACGGGCTCCTCCAGACTGTGGCGCCGCAGCCGCTCGCGCAGGCCGTTCGGGAGCCGCTCCGGGTCGCCAGACGTGTCCGATATATCGTACGACGACAGCTGCCCGTTGTAATGGCCACACACGATGAACTTGCCCTGCGTGAACTTGAGACAGGAGATGGGCAAGAAGGCACCGAACGTCAGAACACACTCGGTCTCGCCCAGCCGCCAGAACGAACAGCGTCGCGAACACTCGCGGCTGCCACCAGATGGTCGTCGTGGTAGTCGAGCGCGATCAACCTTGCCGCCGTGGCCGACCGGCAATCTTCAGCGACACCTTCTCGAACAGCACTGGCGCGTCTTCATATGCGCCGAGCGTGCGCGACGTGCCCAGAAAAAGCTCCTTCCAATCCGCCGATGGCCTCGATGTCAATTGAACTGAGGCTGGTGCGCGTGCCGAGCAGCTGGCACTTGTCGCGCCACAGCGACGACAGCGACGACACGATCTTGTTCCAGGAGGAGGACACCTGACAGCAGCGAAGCAGCGACGCGCCGTCCACGTACGACAGAAGATGCTCGACGATCTCCAGCGGCAGCAGGGTGAGGAAGTCGCGCAGTAGCAGCGACGGCAGCCGATGCAGCATGTACCAGCGCTGGCGCGGGTGACTGTGCGCGATCAGGCTCTCCAGGAAGGCCGTCTGCTGCTGGTCGTTGAGCTCGTGTGTAGCGCTCCAGCGTCGAGTCGACGAAGCGTGCCAGGGCGCGGTCGGCGGCGGCAGCGGCGGCCGGCCGGCCCCGCTCCTGGGGCAGGACGGGCGGGGTCACGGTGCCGGCCGGACCGGAAAACGGCAAAGTAAGGCCGGGGGGGGGGGGGGGGGGAGTGCCACACACTCACAGCTCGGCTCAAGGTTAGCGGCAATTGATCGACACAGTTTCTGTCAACAGCTTCTACTAGCTACTTTTAAAACTGTTGTCAACTGCAACAGCTTACAACTCTGTTTACAACACTATTCTCTGCACTGCTAATACTGGCGGCTGTTTCAGCATCAGTACACTACAGTGTATATTTCACATTGAGTGCGAACATGGCCATGTGTGGTGTACAATAATCAATATGTCTGGCCGCGTACAAGTGTGAATGCATCCATGCATTGATCCAACCAGATATGCTATAAGTCTCTAAAACGTTACATAAAACGCGTGTCAAATGTTTATAGGTAAGCATTGCTTCTTCCAGTATACGCAAGCAGGAATAATAATCTGATAATACAACATGCATACAGAGCATCAGGGTGGGGGCGAGGCAGGCTTCGGTTTCGGCTTCGTGAAGCTGCAGTTTCCTTCCAATGGCTTCGGATTCGTCTTTGCGTAATTTTCCCCCGACTGACTTGAACTTTGACTTCGGCCACGTGCCATTTTAAGTGGCTGGCGTGGGCTTGGGCTTCGTGATATTTCCCCATGGCTGGCTTCAACTTCGGCCTCAAAAACTTTTGACAACTCCGACTCCATGCGAACTAAACGGCTTCGGATTTGTCATGTCCGCTTTTTTAAGTTGCGGCATTACTTCGCAAAAAGTCTTGCCCGTCTTATTACCCCTTTACACCACACGCATTTTCAAGTCTGCAACACTTACATTGCTTAAAGTAAAAATTGGCCAGTATATTAAAGGAGCGATTAACACCTGGCGACAGCCGGACAACTCAATGTCCGAAACGTTGTGTACATACTTAGACAGGAGGGTAAAGGTCAGAAAAGTATTCCAGCCGCAATGCTAAGACCTTGTCTCATTCACTCTGCAAAACTCTTGTGGTGTTTCCTAATATCACACGGTTTCAGCGCACTGGAAAATAGTTTTAGGTGCGTATAGCAACGTTGTATACCACATCCGGCTTCGGCTTCAGCCTCCTGATTTTGAGCTGATGGTGGTTTGACTTTCGCTTCACTTTTCCGATGCATGAAACCCTGGCTTCAGCTCCGCCTTTGCATGTGCGAAGTTTAAGGCTGCTTGGCCTGGGACTCATATATGCATTTTTAAAATATGAAGCCAGTGGCTTCATCTTTGGCTTCAAAATTTTAACCTTCGAGGACACCCGTTTGGGCTTTAGCCCCGGCTTCATATCACTGCGCCTCGGGGTCGGTTTCCGCCTTGAAGCAATAATCCTGGCTTCATGCCATGTCCACAGCATGTATCATGCAAGTGTTAACACACACAGCTGTGCAGCATGGCTAACTATCATGCCTCACAACATACCTGTGTGACAATCATTTTTGCACCATTATCATAGTCAGAAAGAGCAATACTGATTGAACACCTCTTGTGCATGCATCATGCAATGGCACACATATATAGCAACCTATCTTGAGCAATTTCCATTTCCAGTACATTGTTTCATTGGCAGAGTCACAGACTCAAAACACTTTCCGTTTTTCACACACTGTAGGTTTTAATATAAATTGGTAGCTTAAATTGTTCAGCTGTGACCATCACATGTAGTAGTATATGTATTAAGTATTTTCATGTTCCAACAATTTATTGACATGACATGACAACAACATTGACAATTTATGGTAAGTATGGGTAAACGGACATTTTCATGAAAGAACTAAAGACACGAAGACATAGACGGCTAGATGACAAAGAGGTTCTCGAGCATATTGTGGTTGGCCTGCCCCAGGTTCCATGCACATTCCCTAACTAATCTTACCAACTGACCTGCCTGAATTGAGCCATAAGTGAAATCTTAAGACTGATAAGGCTTGGCCAAACAACTTTTAAATATTGCTAGAGAGGTACTCCCTAAAATTGCATTTGGCAGTCCATTCCAATAACCACTGACATCTGCCTCTTCATAATTCTACTCATACCTTTTGCTAGATGGAACTGGCTTCCTCCAAGGTATAATTTTGGCCGCTTATTCTCCAAGCCTGTGTAATATTATTCGCAAGAATAATAAAGAACAAAGGGCCCAACACACAACTACACACACAGGGCCCTCTGGAAGCCCACTCTCTGCCAGCTCTCACTGATATTTTGTATCACTGAGCACTACCCTTTATTTCGGCCTAGCAGCCCATACCCAGCTTATGATTTTTCCTCAATGCCATCCAAATGTAAGTGATAGAGAAGATGTTAGTATGGTACCTTATCTAATGCCTTAATAAAATCTAGATAAACAACACTTAAATTATTCTCCATATCTATGTGACTGGTAAAATACTCCATAAACTCTAAGATTTGTCCAACAAGACCTACCAGACAGAAAACCATGCTAACTGCTATTTATCAACTGATGTCTGTCTATGTGTGACTGAATGCTAACCTTAATGAATTTCTCTATGATCTTACATGCTAGTGAGTTTAGGCTGACAGTCCTGTAACTTGAGTTTTTGGCCCCGTTCTTAAAAGTTTGTACTACATTCACATTACAGC